GTGTGTGTGTGTGTGTGTGTGTGTGAGAGAGAGAGTCTCCAACCTGGCGGCTGGTACTTCCACAGACAGAATGAGAAAAATCGATTGAATCCACCACTATAACATTGAGGTATACACCGCCGACCCTCGTGTGTGTGTGTGTGTGTGTGTGTGTGTGTGTGTGTGTGAGAGAGAGAGAGAGAGAGAGAGAGAGAGAGAGAGAGAGAGAGGGAGAGAGAGAGAGAATCTTTCAGCTGGCCTCATGGTACTCAATAGGATGAGCAAAATAGAATGAATCTACCACTACAACATGGAAATATACACTGCTACCGTGACACTTGTGTGTGTGTGTGTGTGCACCTGTGCCAGTGTGTGTGTGTGTCGGTGTGTCACGGTCACACTTTTGTGTGTGTGTGTGTGTGATAGTGCGAGTGTGATATGTGTGTGTGTGTGTGTGTGTGTGTGTGTGTGTGTGTGTGTGTGAGAGAGAGAGAGAGAGAGAGAGAGAGAGAGAGAGAGAGAGAGGAGTGGAACAAGGGTGACCTTCCGCTAAAGAGGTGGGTCGCAGTAGCTGAAGAATGCAGTACTCGGTGGATTGCAGTAGCGGAGTGCAGCCCTTTCTTTTGTGCGGTGGCCTGGAAAAGTACGGGGTTTGAATCCAAATTCTTAGCGCCTCCCTGCTGGAGGGCATCTCAGGAAGATGCATCCCCCACAGAAGGGCGAATGGGACAGGCAGCAGGGTAAATAGGACCGCCGGTCCAGTAGGGCATTCCGAAAAGTTGTGCCCCTCACTGAAATGGGCCTGCACGAAAGTTCAGAGGCCCGGGGGCATATCAGAGTAAGTCGGCCGTCGGAAGGGCAACTCGCAAATTAGTGCAAACTTCAGGGGCATTTCGAAAATTGTTCTTGCTTTTCTTTACCTTCTTTTTTTTGGGACCGCTGCCTTCCCCCTCCGCTCGTTCTCGTGGTCATACTCGTTTAGGTCTGTACGGTAGTCCAGTCATACCTGGCTGTGTGCTCGTAGGTATTCGCTGACCTCAGGGCTGCCCTCGCTGACTCAGCGCGCGAAACGGCATGGGTGTATTTGTAGATGCAAGTTGAGTAACGTGCGAAATGGGGCGGTGTTTTTTTCTTTTTTCTTTTTTTCTTCTCTCTAATCTTTCATCATCTTTCAAATTATTTCAATTCAAAAAAAAAAAAAAAA